ACCTATGGCTCTGAGCCTGAAGGTGATGGAGGAGGATGAGGAAGGTGCAGTCATGCATGTGGTGTATGAGCTACTCCCTCCACCAGCAAGAGAAAACAAGGCTGTGATTTTTCTGGGAGCAGACCTGCTGTGTGCCAGAGGAGTTGATGATGAGGCTCTGCCATCCACGTGGGTCCTGTCCGGCAGGAAGGTGCCATTCATTCCCCACGGGCCGTGGGCTCGCAGCCCCAGGCTGACGCCTCCTTCCCAGCCTTTTCCCTGCCAGGCGGTTCACACGTGCTGCCTGGCGGGTTGTGTGGCTCTGGCTGGCATTTAGCAGCAGCTCCTGGAGGCTGCTGGCACGTGAATGTTGGCACCTTGCAGAGACACTGCCCGTCACACCCCACCAAGGCCCCACGTTTCCTGGGGAAATATATGATGTTCCCTCTGCTTGGAAAAGCCTAGTCAAGGGAAATGTCAGCCCTCCCCACACGCTGTTTTGGTACTTGGGAGTATTTTTAACAACATCCCTGGGTTCCAAGCTGTGTTTGCCATGATTCAGGCGCTCATCCTGCACTCGCTACCCCAGCGCAATCTGCCGCAGCTGCTGGTGCTGCAGAGATGGTCATGGTGGCTCCTGCTCCCACTGAGAGGGAAATGTCACTGCTGGCTTGTGCCAGGAAAGCAGAGTGGTGCTAAACCCACCTGTGGGTCTGGGATCTTGGTGGGACTTTGTGTCCCCACGTCATTCCCTGTCCCCTGTTTTGATCCAGGCACCATGGAATCATAGAACCAGCAAGGTTGGGAGCTCCACTGTGGGCATTGAGAGGGGCTACCCAGTGCCTCTGCCACAAAACTTCATTCTTTCCCCATCCCATCCCCTTGGGAGGCTTCTCCAGCAGCCAGGCTTGGCTCTGCTGTAGCTCAGCTGTGGGCACCACTGACATGTTGCTGTTTGGTTTTAGGCTCTGGTTTTGAAAGAGCTCAGGTGAGGTGTTGAATGCCTTCAGGTCTTGCCCATGGTGCAAGTTTAGAAGACAAAGGGGGAAAACAGGAGGAGAAGGATGTAGTTTCAGCTTGGAACCCAGAAGCTGTGTGCAGGGTACCATGGGGGCTGCAGGGATGGGATCCTGGGTCCAGGGGGTGTCAAGCTCTGTGGCACAGCAGCAGACAAAACTCTGGGTGCTTCTCTGTGTATGGTGGGGTTGGACAGTGATTGTGTGGGAGCAGAACTATTGCTGCAAGTCTGCAAAGTGCAAGGGAAGCAGAGCACCAGCGGGAGGAGAAGCAAGATTGCTGTGCTAATGAAAAACCAAAAAGGATGTATGAGAGCTAATTTCTAACCAGCTGCTTTGGTCAGGCAAAGTGATCCTGAAAGAACAGAGATGCCTGCAATGTCCTCTGTAATGGCTACTCCATCCCTCAGCAGCACTACCTGTCAATCCCACAAGAGCTGTTTTCCTTATGAAGGAGTGATTAAATAGTGTCAGGATAACCCCCCAGGAGCAGTGGCAGAGCTGGGTATCCAGGAGGCAGAGTTGAGGGCCAGGGGTGGAATGACATGCTCAGAACTTGAACAGCAGCACATGGCACTGGCTGTGAGCAGGAGGGATTTGGGTACCATCACTGACAGATGTTTGTGGCTGTCTGGGTGGGGAGACCCCATCTCATCCCCACCTGGGGTTAGCAAGTGCTGAATGATGACCAGGACAGTAACACCTGTGCACTGACTGATAGTTACTGTCAAAAAAATTCTAACATCACAGACTGGTTTGAGCTGGAGGGAACTCCCAGGGATGGAGCAGCCAGAGTTGCTCTGGGCAACCTGTGCCAGTGCCTCAGCACCCTCACAGGGAAGAATTCTTTCCCAATATCCCATTTAACCCTGCCCTCAGGGATCTGTGGGGGCTGCTGCTGGTTCAGCTCCGAGGTTAATTGTCTCAGACCTGGGAATTAGTGTAATGGAAGCACAAAGGGCTTTTCCTGACCCATTACTAAGAGACTGACAATTGATTTTACTTGGCGGTTTTGCAGCTTCCAGATGTGTGTGTCTTTATCTGTGTGCGTATAATATACCTACCCCTGGCAGCTGCAAAAGTGGTGTAAATGTATCTAAAGATTTGCTGTGCGGGTTTCTGTATTTCTGGGATTGGTTTGTTTGTTGTATTGTTTCTTCTGCTTAGGGAGGTAGAGAGGAACCAGGGCTGAAACTAACATTCTTCTAGACAAATTCCTGCTCTGCCATAGGATCAGTAATAACTCTGTGAGCCTTTAAGCAGCATGAGGTCCATGCTGGGTATCCAGCCATCCACAGCAGGACCAGTTTGCAGCTGGTTGTGTCTCCCTGTGTCCCTGTAGCTGCTTCACTTTGCTGTTTGTTGGAGTGTGTGGCTGAGAGCGATGCCGCACGCGAGCCCAGGGCTGGGAGCAGACCTGGGGATGCTCTCCAGGCTGGGCCACAGACTCAGGAATCCTCCTGCCCAGCAACCTCTGAGCTCCCTGTGCAGGAGGGATCTCACCCTGCAGAGACTTGGCATTTCCAGCGTCTGCTCTTCACACGGAGTTTTCCAAACCTCCAGGTCACATGTGCTCTGAGTAAATGGCAAAGCTCTGGAAATCCAAACATGATATTTCTGTCCACATTTCTTGGTTGGTCAGACTCTGCACAGAGCTGGTTATCACTCCCTGGAGCAAAACTGAGTGTGTTTTTTCCCCACCAAAACCCTGGAGTGGGAATAGATGAACCCTGATGTGGCTTTATGGGACAAGGGACCTGTGGGGAAGGACGACAGAACAGACAGCAGCGTTTGGGCTGAGACCCTGAGACAGACCTCAGTGCCAGGAGAGTGATGAATCCTAGAAATGCATGGAAACACCACAGGGATTCACTCACAGTGTGTGTGTCCATACATATGCATTTATATATGTATGTATATAATGGGTGTGTATAGATGATGTGCGTTGCATAAAGGGGATAGAGATATGTGTGTATAGACATGTAAAAAGGGGTGTATATATATATAAAGGGGTATAGACATAAAAAGGGATATATAGAAAGGATATGTACATGCATATATATTTAAAGGGTGTATATGTGTGTATATATATAAAAGGTTACATATAAAGGGTATATGTGTATAAAGAGGTATATATAAAGGAGATACATATGTAAAAAATATCTATGAAGGGTATACATGTGGATATATATCTATGTAGACAGAGGGGTACATGGCTGAGCTGTGCCTGCACAGAGACAGACTCTGAAAGGCAAAGAACAAGTCGGTGAGAAACAGGACTTACGGAAAATTTTTCTATAAAACAACCATAGACTGTTTGGGAATGCACAGCAGCACCTGACTCCAGGTGCAGAAATCGCAGCCCCATGGAATTCCTGCCTGCACTTGTGCAGCTCTGTCTGGAGCAGCTGCTGAGGGTTTGCCTTTGAATTTGCTCAGGGTTGTGCTTCGTGCTGGGGAGCAGGGGAGGATGAGCATCATTTGTGCTGTTCTGTACAGCGATGAGTTTGTATGCTAGGTCCAGCTGTGCTTGCACTCAAAAAGCTATACTCAGAAAAGAAGAAAATAAAAGAGGGGGAAAAAAAAGAAGGAAAAATAGAAAAGCAAAAAAAAAAAAAAAGAAGGAAAAATAGAACAGAAAAAGTAATCAGGTCAGTGCCTGCCCCAGCCATGCTGAGAGCCTGGGGGCTTGTGGGGCTGGAGATGCTGCAGCAGCTTTTCAAGTAGCTACTCCAGGTCAAGCTCCTGTCTCTCCCAGATTTGAAATTCTCAGCATCAGAGCTACATTTTGGGTACAGCAGTGGAATGAGGAGGTGGGAGGATGAGCACCTCAGTGCCAAGGGTGCTGGCTGGTGTTGAGCTGGTCCTCCTGCCCTCCCTGGGGTTGCCTTTGGTCATGTTCCAGTGAGAATTTGTCCCACAGGAATGAAAAGCAGAAATGGCCACGAAATAAAGTGTGTAAAAAGAATGAGCTGAAAGCACAGGGCACGACATGTGCTGGTGTCGGACGTTGTGTCCAACCCCTTCCCTGACCCTGCCTGTGGGGGAGCAGGCTTTTTCTCCTGCATAG